CCTATCGCCACGATGACAAACATTATAGTGTATGCATTGACTTACAATTATATGGACGTCGGGTCCGCGCTAAAAAGTGTCCGAACTTATAGGGCGTTAAAATCGTATACAGAGCGTCATTCACGCTTTAGTCTTCGTTTGTTCGACTAGCAGCGAAGCAAGCAAAATTAGACAGTACTGCGATGACATTACAATTTAAATTCAACGTTTTAGCTTTTTCATATTCCTTTACATGTCACTACGTTTAAATAGGTTGACTTGGGACATTTTTTTCGTGGTTTTTGTATTAGACCCGTCGTCCATTTATTTGTAAGTCAATGCTTTCCACTGACAATCCATAGAGACTCAACTGCCATTACAACTAGATTTTAGCAGAATTACAAATATTGTCTTAATTAATTAATTATTCCTAAACACAAGATACCATAAAACACAATGCTGACTACTGTATTTGTCAATAGCTGACTCGATAGTAAGCTATGGCCTCTCCAGTTATGGGAGCACGTATAAACATATTTTAAAACAATATTCGACTTACAAATAAGATTGTTAAAGAATATCGATGCGTTACTTACTCAAACTCGTATCTTATAAAGAGTTATTATTCAGGAGATGACATATCTTTCTATTTTTCTTAAATTTCTTATCAAGGGTGTTAATTTCGATACATTACTTTAAGAATATGTAAAAGCCAGTATGTGAATATGAAGGAACTGTGAAACAAGCCTGCAAAATTTGTATTAACAATCCATCTTTTGCATTACAGTAACTTTGTGCTTTACCATACGAGTTTGAGGAAGTAAGGCGGACGATATAGTACCTCTAAAAATAAAAAATATAAATATTGAGATGATTATGAAAAATTTTTTCATTTTGTAAAGTTATTAACGTCTATGGGAAGGTTAAATTAGTTGTAGTAGGTAACTGAAAACCAAGGAAAAATATTACATATAGAAAGAAAAAAGATAGCACCATGTCTATTGCTTTAGAATAATAACGCATAGAAACCTAGTCCGCACACGCTAAGTGAGGCAAATTGAAGCGCGCCCAATGGGCCTACACGAGCGGGCGGGCCTTCAGTGTTCAAGGTCAACTTGCACCGCGAACAGCTCAAGAATTTTAACTAAAAATGACGAAATGTGCGGTAAATGAGTGTAAAAATACGTCAGACAAACATAAAATAGATACTAACATCACATTCCACAAGGAAGTAACGCGTTTCAACTTGTATTTTTATATAAATATTCACTAAAACCGAAAATTAACCTACTACTAAAACTAGCCTACATGAATTTGATTTTTGCCTCACTTGTGACAGTGCGTTTGATATGAAACTATCATTCTATGCGTTATTATTCTAAGTCTATTGCCTAAAGAGAGTACATTTCAATTACCGGAATATAACAATGTGTATGGGATTAGAATCTTGGCATGCATTCTTCCCGACGTATTGAATGAAGTAACGACTAATATTGTGGAAAAGACCGCAAATGGAAGTAAAAAGCAAGCCAAAAGAACTGTAAACCGTTATCTTATTCTAGGTCAACACATAACTGATTTATAGTAATTATATTTATAGTAAGTAAAGGGCCCGAAACGTTGGTTTGTTTGAAAAAACAAATATACGCGATTTAAATCCGGAAAAATAGTTTCATTTCCTATGTGTAACAATCGCAAAAACCTAAGAACTCGATATCTTATTATAAAGATTATAACTTTAGAATTGCAATAGATTCTCAGTGAAGTGTCAATGGAATGACAATGATGGTTGGGGCCAAGATAAATTGATGTAACTGATTTAGTTGATGCTATTGACAATAATAAATCTAATGGGTAATTATAATCTTTATTGCATTATTATTCCAAAAACACTACCGGTCAAGTCCTTAAAAAGGCTGATTATAAATATAATACAGAAATAAAAATGTCATATATTTTTCTGCACGCTCGCCAAAGGTACACCCCCACATACAGCCACGCCTCGCCATCAATAACTTTTGTCACTGGCACAATGCCGCCAGTATCCCAGTTTAGTCCATAAAAAAAAAGAAAAAATATATTATTTCTTTTTATAATACCCGCAAAATTTTTGCGAAAAAATGAGAAAATAATTTGGTCGAAAAAAATTGTTAATGGATTTTTTCCCCTTTTGGATAATAACGAATGTTATTATTGTTATGTTATTCTTTTGCGTCGTTTTTTATCTAAACGTTTGTTGTATGCCCGTGTGGCTCCCGGTCATGGACATGATCACCTTACGTCTCCTTGTTAGCTATCGTTCGCAAGGAGCTCTACTGCCGCTGAAACCATAAATATGGACTCATAATATCAGTTTAAATAGAGAACGACAGCGTGTTAAAACCCAATCAACTCGTCCGGTTTTTAACCGGATTTTAACCCATTTCTGGCTAAAATCGTGGGCGGAAACATTATACATTGTAATTCCATACCTATTACAAATATCGATGCACAAAATCTTTTTTTATCTACACACATATCATAAATTCTATAAAATGTGTTCGAAAACCGCAAATTACGACCAGCGTAAAGGTAAACTGTTTTGTTAGGACAAATTTCTTATATGTGAAAATCTAAGTATTGCTTCATAATAACATCGAATTCGATGTTATTATTACGTTCAAATTTCGAACATCTCTGAAAAACAAATCAATTAGATTGGACCTCAATTCTAATATCAGTCGAGATGAAGTTTTATTCAAAATGAAATGTCAATAGCAACAATTTTGATTAATCTCACACGTTAATTGATATCGAGCGATGTGATAGTTGGCGCTGACTCTAGTTTGTCTATGAATTAAAAAGAAAAACTACGGGGTTTCGCTCTGGACCTTTTGGAGGGAAAAGTGTCGTTTTTATTTTGACTTTCAATTATTTTGAAATCTAGTTTAAAGTGGAATAGGATAATGCTATTGTTGCCTTAATCGAAGATTAAAACGCGAAATTATACGAATCTCGAACTAAAATACATGTATCGGTCCGTTTTAAGGAATCTCGAGTCAATCCAAGCACGCCGCCTCAAATTGCCTATCCTCTTTGTGGCGGCCATATTTACAGAAGCATAAATAAACTTCATGTTTAGGCTGATGGCTTTGCCAAAGCCTTAATAATTTTTTTTTTTAATTATTTGCCGCCATTTAGTTTATTTTGTTGTTTAGCACATCATAGAGAGCTTATAATATTTATGTGTATAGATAAAGCAGTTACATACAACTGTACATAATTAGACATTAAAACACTCGTGTGATGTTTTTATCCCCACATAAACCCACACTCGTATTTAATGCCTGTCATTATGTACATTCACATAAACTACTAATTTACACGGAAAAGAGGCAATTCCACACCGTTGCAATCCTGTTGATTCTCACTAGGTACTATCAAACTATTGCAATTTGATTTTTATGAAAATCAATTCAAGTGCATACGATCTAACGATTTTTTGTATCGATTTATTTCAATGCGAATTTCAAGTGAATCGAGTCAATAGAAAGGCAAACCGAATCGACTATACAAGAAAGCAAGAAACGTTTTTTTATCATTCAATTTGAACAAAACTCGATTTACAACAAATATTTAGTTGTAAATAGTTTTTGCCCTCGATTTTGGGAGTTAGATGGTTTTAACCCGGTTGGATGAAGATAGCCATAGAAATTGTATAATATTGATTTGTGTAATAATTAATTAAATTTATTTCCATCCCTAATAATTTGTAAAATTTCTTTCTGGAATAATTTAACTGTGTCAACTTTTATTGAGTAAAGTGTAACATAGGAAATGAAACTATTGACAGATATGACACGGGAGACAGACATGGTCATGGTCAACCGTGACCATGGGACTTGTAAAGGGCCCGAAACGTCGGTTTGTTTGAAAAAACAAATATACGCGATTTAAATCCGGAAAAATAGTTTCATTTCCTATGTGTAACAATCGCGAAAACCTAAGAACTCGATAAAGTGTAATAATTACTAACATGAATTTTTAAGTGACATTGTAACTCACAATATGGGTCAAAGTGACATGAAATAAAATTATTATTATTATTGTTTACTTTATTGTACTTTACGGACCTAAGTCAAGTAAATGCAGTATGGTGTGTATCTGGACCATTCTCATTTCTGCAATTTTTTTTATGCATATCTATGAAAAAACGATACACTTGTATTTAAAATTACTCGAGGTAGTTTATATTAATATGATTTTTATTTATATTTACACAATTTATTTAAATCGTCATTAGGAAAGTGACGAAAATGTCTCAACCGTGTCGTGTGCAAAGTCCATTTACAATTATACAAATTAAAATTAAATATATTTATCTGTAACAAATAAACTAATCTATATTATTTTACGATAATACACAGAACAAACTTTCTAAAAAAGACTAAATTATTGCAACATAAGTAAAATAATGGATTCAAAATATTTCATAACGTTTGTGCATGAAAAAATTGTCACCTCCATGCATAAACTTATTGAACGCAGCCATAATTTATTAAATCAGTCAACACAGTGTCTGAACAATTCTTAATAGTCTAAGGAACAATTACAGACAACGAAAACAATGCCATCTTGAAAGTTTTTGACAGTTTGCCACTTCCGGGATAATAGTTTTGGCGCACTCACCCATAAGGTACGATTTTTCAAAAAATAACCTCTAATGCCACGGAAGTGACACTATTGCCATGGATTTGTGTCACTTCCGTGGAAGCGTTTTTTCTTTTTTTCATGAAAACTACAGTGATAATAGCTACGTTCTTAAGTTAAACATATTGTAGAATAAGATACCTTTCATTTGAGACTACTTTGAATCATATCAGGAAACATTGTTTTTTTATTATTTAAGTCCGTTTTTGAGAATGGCCCATTTACGAGTGTAATTATTATTAAACACGGCGCCGTGTTAAAACCCGGGCGCTTGTCCACCTCTGATTATATTTTATACCACCGGGTACACAGGTAACCCCGACCTTGCATATTTCATTACAAGACTGAAATCTAAAAATAATATAAATTTTTATTGTCCACAGGTAAAAATCTGGTTCCAAAACCGCCGCATGAAATGGCGCAACTCAAAAGAAAGAGAGCTCTTAGCATCCGGTGGATCCAGAGAGCAAACGTTACCGAACAAAAATAATCCACATCCAGATCTGTCAGACGCGGAGGCTGACAAACCAAAACTATCGCCCTTAACCGAGGAGGTGGAAGAGAAAAAAATATTTGCGACAACATCGAACTGTCAAAGTGACAGTTACTTTCACGATAAGATGGCGCCGTTCGCGCGCGAATTTTCTAATATGGAGGAAGGTGAAGAGTATGAAAGTGAAAGCGCTTCGGATGAAGAAATTAACGTGACATGACGTGTTTTTGGTAGAGGTTAGTTTGATATGATGTCAATACATAGAATCCATTTCGTCGAACCTCTCAGTTTCACAAATAAATGAGAGAAGTTCGGTGAAAAGAGATTTTTCATAAAATTCTTATCACCCCTGGGTTTTTCTTAGAGCAAACCTATCACTCACACAATTTTGAATACTGTCGGATTTAAAGACATGACAAAATAATATTTGTAGAAATACTGAGAAATGATTTTAATAAACCAATAGTGGTATAATTGTGCAACTTAGTGTATAAACATATCGATGAGAAATTCATAGAAAGCCTTTTTATCGAACATTGTTTCAATGTTCGGTGAAATGTACCATTGCCATTCTTGTTAACGTAAATGTGCCAAATAAAAAGTTGCTACGAAATAATTTTGTCGGTTTTATGAATTAACTTCGAAGAATTGTAAATAATAGTGTAGGTATTGAGAATATGGTTAAGTTAATTAAGGTTTAAAGTTACGTCTGCACAACAAAAATAGTAACACTGTGACTAACAATATTTAAATGAGTTAAGTTATTTACTACTTTAGACTACAATTTAATAACTTTTATAAAAAAAAGTACGTGGTTTTCATTTTAAACACGTAAGATTTTGAAATAATTTGTATTTTATTAAAAACTGGCACTTTTAAATTTAAAAACAAGTTTAATCGTATGATAATCAAATTAATGTTATAGCGTGATTAAAAGACATCTAAAATAATGGGCTGGAATCTTTTCAGAAATACTTTTCATCCGACCTTTCTGTCACTTTGCAGACAAGTTTCGGTGAAAAGATTTTCGTCAAATTCTGGTCCGAGTAAACAATATTTAATCAGAATTGTAGATAATCATTTTAAATATGTGACTTTCGTAAGTTTTAAGGTGTAAAAATTATAGTCAATATGTTGGTGCACTGAGTACGGTATCTAATTATTTATTTAACTCCGTCCCTGCAGAATAACAAACATCAATCAGCAAACTGTTGTGTTAATTGCATTAGTTTAGGACTTTAAAGGGTCGTTAATTTTAACAAAATCAAGTTATGCAAATCACAAGAAATTTCATGAAGATCAGAATTCAGATTCTATGTAAATAACTTTTTATCATAAAAATTCTGTGAATGTCTTTTCGAGCTAAAGGCATCGAGTTGAATTTAAATATTAAATGCAAAGTCGATGGTGTCGATTCTCGGGTGATAGTGACACGTCGAAAAAAGTTTATAAATCGAACCCTCAACATGTGGTCGGCAGCAGTGAAATCGAAATGTCGTACGCTCTGTAAATGTGACAGATCTAGCAGAATGTTGACATGTATTTAACTAATCAAGTTTATTCATTATCACCACTACTATATTCAATTTTTTTTTGGGTAATTACTCCACGTTTGTTATAATTATGAACGTAAATTTTGACAAAGAGATTGTTTTTACATTGAACTGTCGCTAGTCAATCATGTAAATTTTGACTATAGTACCGTCACGCTATGATGGCCGTTTTGACAGATTACAATAGTGAGGTGAAATCTCAAATCATTCTCGAAAAAAATATAATCAAATGCGAGTCATGTCTATAAGTTTTTAGATTTATAACTATATTGATAGGGTTGGCTGATTAAAAAGTTTTAATAAAAGGAAAATAAAAATGTTAACTTCATATATTTCAATGAAGCGAAGCAATGTTATTTCGGAACTGCTTTGTTTTGCATTAAGCTGTGATGCGAGTTTGCCGGAGGCAGAGGTTGTGCTGGCCAGCGATCCCATAAGTGATGATCGTGTTAGATTTCAATTTTAAGAATTTAGAAAAACAAATGCCGAGTTGTGTCGTAAAATTATAAATCCCAAAAATTTACTGCACGTCACTATTGACAATAATGTACAGCAATTAGCTCCATCAACGTAGTTAAGAATTAATACGAAACTTGATGAGCGAACAAACGTTAAAACGGCCATCATAGAGTGCCGGTACTTTAAGTATTTATAAAAACTATTTATCGATTATATTTAGAATAAAATCTGTAAAACAGATGCACTGCATCTCTATTCACACAATGTGCCATTGACATAGCGACATTATGAAATAGAAAAAAAAAAATCACGTCACACGGGAATCGACTCCCAGTTCTAAATGCACGTTACCAACTTCAAAGATAGTTAAATTAAAATGCACCAAACCTTTGTAAATATGTATACCTTAACATTATAATAAAAAAACACTGTAACTAAATGAATAAGCTATATTCGGTGATCTCATACATACAGCTGGAACGCAATGAATTCGTCTCTGGAGGACAAGATAACGTTCCCTTGGTTCTTAATAGCAGTACAGCTCCTTGTAAATTCGTCCAAGGAAATACTGACACCTTATTTCTGCGGCCAAGGAATAGGTGTAATTACAGGCACGTGGGACTTGTCAACTTATGTCTCAAGGTGACGGGCGCAGTGGCAGTGTCCCGCAGACCTTTGCGATTTAAAGCTCTGAGTGGCACTACAACTGTTATGGACAGGCGTGTCGCTTACCATCAGGTATACGACTTGTCCGTCCCTACACTTGTTATTATAAAAAATTGTAAGTATTACTGCGTTACGGCTGCTAAAATCGCCGCGTGTAATCGCTCTAAAATGCGTGCAAGTGGCATTGCGACCCTGCCCTCCTTGTCATAACTAACGATTATTGGCACCTATGTTTTTTTCTTTGAAAAATGTCGATTATGCGATTTCGCTTAAACAACAAAATTAATACCGTTTTGCTGATTCCAGACATGTTAATATCTAATTTTCGCTAAAATGTCGATTAGGTTAGTTATGATAAGAAGGGCAGAACTGTGAGGGCGTTTCCGTTATGTCGTGAACTTTTTTATCGTTGAACGAACGACGAATTATATAACTGTTCCTAACGTATCGTGACGACAAGTTATCGTTTCATGGCAGCCGCTTTGTCGTTTGCAGATATGAAACAACGATAAATAAAACGTGTAACAGTAGTAACTGCGATTATCTATCCTAGCATTTTTATTGTGACGTTTTATGTATCGTTGGACGTCTGTCTTGACAGGCTGTCGTCGTAACGTCCAAAAAGTCGTTAACGAACGAACTACTTGTGTTGTACTACATCGTCGTCTTAGAGTGAATACCTCGTACGTGATTTCTATGTAATTTTTCAGAACGAAGATAAAAATGTGGTGTAAAATATAGAAAACAAATCATGTTTATAGTTATCATTTTAATTACTTAAATTATACCTCTTTCAAGCAAGAAGTTTACAAACATTTCTTCAACAAAAAAAAAACTATGTCAAAACGCGTATACGAGGTTTTCGCTCTAAGGCGACGATATGTGGACAACTTCAACTTCATTTAAATATATAAGCCACGACACTTTGAACTGCACGACTGTCTGTCGTCATGGCATAATAGGAAAGCACCCTTATGGATTACCGGTCGCAGGACTTGTTCCCGTCGCTTGTAGGACCAGCACGACTTAGCGAGGAGTCGAAGTAGAGTTTCATCTGCTTTTATAAATTAGCGTCAACGACCAATTTGTTGCGTTTGGGCTATAGTTAAACGTAAAAATAAGCTTCGAAGACTAAAGTATATCAAAATTAATGTGAAAATAAAAAATATGTACAGTAAAGTTTTGTTGTTTTATTGTTTAGTATCTGCCCGCGAGTTTTACCTCTTTCACTCTGCTCGGGGGAGCAGCGAGAAGTTATGCGGGACTTCCAGGCGGTTGCAGTCAACCCCGCCGCCACAGAAAGGCGCATGGGCTCTTGCAGGCACATGGAACTTGTCAATGATTTCTATATATGTAACTGCACTAAGTCCGATTCCAATCCGAGAAAATACATATCGCTTGTACACCTACAGATAAAATGATCCCTGTGACATTTTAAACCGTCATTTCTCGGGTTCAGTTAGCAAACGCTCTCAGGGTGGCAGATCTTTGTGATTTAAAGCTCTGAGTGGCACTGCAATTGCTGTGGTCAGGCGTATCGTTTGCTACCAGGCTCAAGACTTGTTAATTTCATCACTTGATATCATAAAGACAGGCGCCTCAGGGACCGCTTGCGCATACTACTGGGATGCCCCTGAAAATACAGCACCCTGTGACGATGTGACCTCGTTATATCGTCATCCCACCTTTTTATCGCCTTTTCTCCGGTTCCTAGCCACTCGTTTTTAAATTTTGAATCGTTCTTTAATAAATCCTTTGCCTCGCCATTCTAATTTTGTTTCGTTCCATTGTCTCTCCCTGCCCGATCGCGGCTGTGAACACATCTTCTCGTTAATTTTTTAAACCGTTTACCAGTTACCAAAAATAATTGTGCGATAAACATTTTAAAGATCACAAGTATTAATCAAAGTGGAATAATATTTATAAAACTTGGATTTATGACCACTATTTCTTTACCCTTTTAGGATGGTGAACTTTAAACATACTAAGCGAGAATATGGAGGCTGCTGAGGCTGCGGAGGCTGCGGAGGCTATTACTCTCCTGCCACAAACAATCCTACCGAATAATCGTTTATTTTATTACCTTGACCACATTGACTTACAATTATATGGACGTCGGGTCCGCGCTAAAAAGTGTCCGAACTTATAGGGCGTTAAAATCGTATACAGAGCGTCATTCACGCTTTAGTCTTCGTTTGTTTCTTCTGACAGCGAAGCAAAATTAGACAGTACTGCGACATTACAATTTAAATTCAACGTTTTAGCGTTTTCATATTCCTTTACATGTCACTACGTTTAAATAGGTTGACTTGGGACATTTTTTTCGTGATTTTTGTATTAGACCCGTCGTCCATTTATTTGTAAGTCAATGCTTGACCATGATGAAAAAATGAGAAATGAAAAATAGTTTATATTCTACCATTACAAACTACAAAATTCTTGTTACATATATTAATAAGTACTAGTTGTATTAGCTAATTTATAGTTGTAATTTATATTTATATTTATAGTTTGTGAGGCTGCTGGAATCTAAACCAGGCCG